ATTTTTCCGTAAATTATACAAAATTTTGACAAATTTTTCATCAAAATCCAAAACCAATGTTATACTGTATAATAAATAATGTAAGAATTATTACAAAATTCATATCTGATATATTTTATTTAATTCAAACCCGTCGTGCCTACCATTAAAGTTTTATCGGTTAATTATATCGCAAATAATTTAAATAATTAATTTCGGTTAAAACATTATAATCGTTCAAAAAGTGGAATTTCAGAGTAATCCGGTATTAACTTCTGCATCCATTAGGTTAGGTTAGGAAAAGGATAAAGATTTATACTCTATTCTTGTTTATGGTTATGACCATGTTGTCTATTATTTTAAGGTTTTTTACCTATTTTATTAAGATTTTATCTCAAAAGAAGTATCTTCTACTAATCATCATTTAATTATGTTCTGAAATTTTCTAAAGTAATTATTACGTATTTTTAACCAAAACAAAGATATTTTGAAACAAAGACATATTAAATAACTTTTATCATATTCATTATTAATAATTAATTCCCTTTAACATGTTTCGTATTAACATTTTATTTTAAACGTCAAAATGTAACAAATTGTTATGATGAGTTAACACGCAACCTTAATTTAAAATGTTAAATTTTAATATTATAGGTAGGTACTTGACGGAAATTTCGTTCAAAAACTGTGAGTTATTTTATGTACAGATAATAAAAACAAATTGTTAATTATTAAAACTATGGCAAAATAATGTTTTAAAGAGAGAAAATTCTTTGAAATTTTTGTTCTGATTCGAAATCTTCTATATATATAAAAATGGATTGCTGTTCCTTAGTCTCGCTAAAACTCGAGAACGGCGGAACGGATTTATCTTATCTTAGTTTTGAAATGTTCGTGGAGGTTCAGGGAAGGTATAAAAGCTGAAAAACATTGATTCATTACTGGGAAAACCATAAAAACAGCCCTTTTCTATTTCCCATACAAACGTTTTTTTTTTGACATTAGATTTGACAACTAACTAATATGTCAATCATTCTGTCGCACTTCAAAACACGGAGATTTATATCTTACAGGTAAACTCCAAATATAAATAAAAAAACGTAACAGATATTTCTTGATTATAGGGCGATAAGAAGTTCGCCGGGTCTTCTAGTAGACAATAAATAATAAACGAAAAATAAGTGCCAATGTATGTAACAATGAATTCAAAAAGACAATTAAACACAGTTTATACAGAAAAAAGTTACCAAATTCATAAACGTAACTTATTAATCATTTTGCAGTACTAATTAATGTAGCATATAATAACATTTAAATTAAAACTACAATATATGTAAAAAGGTATTAAAAAGATGTTATTTTACATTCCCATGGCGGTTAGTGTGATCTCTTTGTATGTTTTCCACTTACGGTGTCTATGGGAGCCACGATTTTATCCTTGGCAAACAAGCTTTGACAAGGGTCCAAAACCTACAGTCCCTATTGTTTTAATAAACATGACGTGATGAAATTAATAAATTTTATACGATACAGAATGTTAATTTGTTTCCCTTACATTATCAGATTATACATATCAATAAAACTTTTTATTATTTTTTGGGATGAAGTCAATGTTAAAATTTGATTTTTTTATAGTGTGATACGTAATATTTTATTATTACTGCAGCCTGACTATCTAGTATATTAAATGTAAACTTCTGAGTACTATCTATTGGTTTAGTTCACAATATCGGTATCAAAATCTATATATTGTCTGTTTATACTCTCAAAAATTATTCAAAGAATAAATTTATATTGAAACAAATACTGTTTAACTCAAATAACACAGACAATAGTAAAGTTGCAAGTTTTTTAATATAGACTATAAGACTATACGATTTTTTTGCAATTAAAGCCACACAATAAATTATCGAGAAATATTACTGATTAAATAGATATAATTGTAAACATTTTAACATAGATAAGTTCAATTATCGTCTAATCAACAAACCTTGACTGTCCGTAGCGCGCCGTGAGCCGCGTCTTCCGCCCACACCTTGACTCCATCCTTCTCATACTCCAGGGTCCATCCATCTTCAGAGGAGAGTAAGTTCTTCAGGGTCTGGAAGTCGGAGTCTTCAGCAACACGCGCCTCACGCGTCCAACCCGCGCCGCCCATTCGCGCGACATCCCTTCTAAACTGCACCGTGAAACTGACAAGCATGAAACATCGATGGTGGTACTTCAACTAACATCCAACACAATCACCTCTATTTTTAAAGTAATAGAGATGATATTCGTTTGTATGTATTATGTATGTACAGCGCATGCGTGGACCAGGTTTTTTCGACCTACGATTGTTAGTTAAATGTGAATAGTCGTTGGAGCGTTTAGCGTAAAGTGGCGTTGACTCAACCAGCCTGTTTGGTGAAAAATGTGTCCCTTTATAAAAGGGCTTCCTAATGACATATTACAATCAGTCTTATGGGACTAAAACGGAAATAAATACTTTATGTTACTTCAATATATTTTTATACTATTTAAATTAATACAGTAAATTCTTTGTTAAATTTTAAAAAGATAATTAATGAATACAAATATAGATAATGTCACAGTATATACATATATACTTTACAGAACAATTGTATATGTATAAGCATATATATTTTAATTCGGTTATTTGTAAAATTCCAGTGACAATTACCTCCATGTAAACAGCTGACATTTTTTTATCTGTTCGAACAAATTAACGAACTGATGTAATTAAAATGGCTGACAATGAAACCTGTAGCTCCAATTTCATTTTCACCCTTGGGACCGTACAAAATAGGTTATATGAGGATTTCCAGTTATAATTACATGAAAAAGAAAGAACCCGATAATTTCCTTGAAAATGGGCGACAATTGTTTGAATTTATAATCTGTCAATGAATTTCATAGTGACAAAATATTTATTTTTATTTTTATCTGTATTTATTACTATATTTAAGAACACAATTTATGAAATCCAATAAAATATGGCTTTAAATATTATTGTTTTAAAATATTTCAGAAGAATATTTAATTACGGCGATAACAACTTTCATGAGCGTGTAATATGCATAGTTTCTATAGCTTTAATGTTTGGAAGGTTCCTTAGTATGTGTGAACACTAACAAAGTTGTGGACAGTTTGTGAGTTTCGGACTATGTACAGCATAACGATAAATGTAGACATACTTTTATAAAGTAATTTGTAACAACAACAGATAAAAAATAAGCTTTTTTTATATACAGGGTGACTGGTGAATTACTATCGATACTTGAGGACGTGATATTTGACGATCATATATGACAAAATAAAAATTAATCTATACTAATATTATAAAGCTGAAGAGTTTGTTTGTTTGTTTGTTTGTTTGTTTGTTTGTTTGTTTGAAAGCGCTAATCTCCGAAACTACTGGTTCGAATTGAATAATTCTTTTTGTGTTGGATAGTCCAGTTATCGAGGAAGGCTGTGGGCTATATAACATCATGCTACGACCGATAGGAGCAAAGATATAGTGGTAAATGTGTAAAAAACGGGAGAAATTATTTCATCTTTGAAGCATTCCGTTGCGTGCGCCGTGAAAACGGTTCAAGATACACAAAAAATATGTATTAAAGAATCATAGCTCTTTTAATGATCTAAAAAACACTCAGCGACAGTATATGTCTATCTTTTAAGATTAACTCACAAAAACCGTTTTTATGGTACCTAATTTGGTCGAAATAATTTGTTTAAGTTGTATCAACATAATAATATTAATCTTTATTCAAGTAAACAAATAAATATGTTGTTGGTTAAGAGTACTTCATTTTGAATAAAAAAAACTGGTATTCTACGGGAACTCGACAATTCCGAAAACCCAGCAAGAACGGGATCTATGTGGGAAGAACCAAAAATCTGCCGGAAGTCACTTTTCCACGCAGACGAAGTCGCGGCAAAAGCTAGTATAACATAAATATTAATAAACTTCTAAGTAAAGTTAACTAAAATTTATGTAATTAATTACGCATCGTGTGAACACCCTACAGATTAGGTATACACACACACACACACACACACACACCTACGCGTGCGGCGGCGTGGTGTTGTATCAGCACGCCGCCGCACGCGTCCACACTTGGAACACTTGGAACGTGTCCACACTTTATTTATTTATACGGAAATTTGGTCAAAAATTAAGTACCTATTTTTTTTACATAATTCGAATGAGAATCATGTACCGAGTATTCTCCTTAAATATTGATAGTAATTCACCAGTCACCCTGTATAACACAGATAATAAATACAGTGGCAGAATATAATAATTTCTTTTTTTTTCGGTACACATGTCAATGTCAAATGGTTGATTTGAAGTTGTTACAACAAGATCTCTTTAATAAATTGATATTATTATTACTTCAAACTTATGTTTCTTAAAATTTTTAGAGCATAAGAATAAGCTTACGGAAAAATTTACTTGCTATTTATTTCATAGCAACAGCATAAAGCTTTAGAACTTCAAAAACATTCTTTTGAAAATGCAACATACTAGATGCTTTTCGTATAGTTTTGCATAACATTCCTGTCAAAACATGCTTTTACGCGGGAATTCCGCTGGTGTGCAAGCAGCCTTAGCTTCATTGTCTTTAGTAGGCGTTAAGCCACAATAATCTAGACCAAGCAGAGATAACGGCTAAGTATTCTGGCTTAGTTTAAAATAATTAAGTTTAGCTTATACTTAGCTTAATCTCATTTAAGCTAGAATTAATTTTGGGCATATTTTTCTTATTATATTCTTATTTTATATGGACAATTATTTTTATTGTGAAGAATAATTGAAATAAAATATATCGTTATAATTATTTATTTATACGTAACATATTTTTAAACATTTATACAATTGAGTACAACATACATTATTCATAGTAATATGCAATGTTTAGACTTAGGATAATACATATGTATATAATAGTATCTATCTTTTAAGGCAGACCCTGGCTAAAGCTGGGAAATTGCCAGAAAGAAGAAGATAGTATCTAACAGGAACTGATGTCTGGGAGACTTCCCTGGCAGTGGTTCTTCCATCCGTACCAGGCGTTGAAGCCGTGTCTCTTGAAAATCTTTTTCGCGCAGGTCGCGGCTTTACTTATATCGTCTTGGCTCACCTCTGAATATAAAACATATTAAAAGCGCTTTAGGATTATAAAGAAAGGAAATAGTAATGATTTTTACTTCAAGCAGATGCAAATCGCAGATTTTTATACGAAAAGAATGATTGTCATAAAACAGTTTTGATTATTTCCAGTCAACTGTCAACTTATTCAGCTTTCGTTAATTGTGTTCTTAAATAACTCGATAAATTTAAAAAGAAACAGTTTTCTTTAAGAAAACTTTATTTTTCGGATAATTTCTACGCATTTATTATTATTTTTAACTACATACTCAAGACGTTTCGGTTACATTGCAGCAACCGTGATCACCATTTTGCTCATGATCACTATTTATGCTAAGTAACCAAAACGTCTTGAGTATATTGTCAAAAATAGTTATAAACGCGTAATAATCCGAAAAATATTAGTGTTATTCCAATAAATACTGGATACACTTCAATCTTATTATCCATACTAAATAAAAATCTTCAAGCTATATTCTCACCGGCGCAAGTCACGTTGCAGTCCTTTCCTTTGCTACTAGTATTGCTGCACCAGTACTTGTCATTAATCTGGAATAGGCCGTAGTCCCTAGAACCATTTTTATTCACCTTTCCTATCTTGCCCGTGTTTCGTCCACTCTCGTGCTCAACGAGACAAACCCCTGGATGAAATAATATATATATTATACATATAAATCGTTTTTTGATAATATTTTTCATGAATATTAAGTTTGAACAAAAAGTTCTATCACTGGATTTAATAACTTTTCTCCGTGCGAATACATTAACGGTAAAATCGTAATAGCATTATTTGATTTAAAATAAATTTAAGCACATTATCTTTGACAAGATCAAATAGCGGACAAACAAATAAATGGAGTATTATATGAAAGTGTATCAAAACTTTCTTTTAAGCATCAATTTAGTAAAAATATCTTACAATCTCTCATCTTGTTTTCAGGGAAGCCGTGACTTCTCAATTGTGCGACGAGCTCACATCTTGAAAACGTTTTGCCTTCACAATTAGCTGCTATCAAGGCAAAAATCACAAAAATTACTACGGATTTCATTATGAATAATATATTTTTTAGATGTACTGCTCTTCTTCTCAGTTGGAAACGATCTGAGTAAATGAAGAGTAGCTCATGTTTTATATGATCGCCTTGTAGGAATATTAGTAGGGGATTCCTGCTTATCTAATTAATGCACACACTTTATGCGAAATATTGTGTATAGGTTGTGGTAACGTTTATTTGTAAACAACTTAACGGCAAAAATAATAGAAATTGTAATAAAGATAAAGACATAAAATAGTGTTTAATGTGTGGTTTTTAAATGAATTATTGATTTAAATTATATTTTTAAATAGAAAAAAAAATGGCCAAACTTAGTTCTTGTTTTGATTAATACTATATATTTCCGTTTATTTACAACAAAATACCTTATCATATAAAACTGAGAAACCATTCTAATCTTCGTTACTCTTAAAATTTTGATTGAGAATTTTTACGAAACACGATTACTGTTTTACTTAGGAAAAATCATCATTTAAAAAATCATCGAAATATAATTGTACGCGGTTTTACTCATTAATATTTAATTAGCCATACATTGAAATATATTTCGAAATGGCAATATTGAAATATGATAAAAAAAGTTGTTTACTAAAAATGCTATCACTAACAGTAAGAGTCATGTAACTTTTATTGCTAATACAATTTTATTTTAAAGAAAACAAACGATAAATAATGATATCAATTTCAAACAATGAACATTTTGCAATTTGCAAAACTTTTGCAAATAAGTACCATTTCATATGATTAATTAAAATATGGCATAATTCAGGTTACCTGTGTGTTAATCTTAATTATTATTATTATTTATATGATAATTTATATTATTTATATGTTATAGAGTATTTATATCTGTAAATGTAACATTTAACCCCGCTATCGCTTGTTGATTGTCAATGTATAACTCTCATATGTGGTGGCTGGTGAATTCCCGTTCCCCGAACGATACGGACAAATATTTTTATATTTACCTATGACTAACCCAGCTCCGGTCAATAAAGTTACATTTTCTATTCAAATAACCTCCTTTTTTATAAAATATAAATGTAATGTACACATAATGAAATAAACAATTAATTTTATGAGCCATTAACATATAATGCGCTTTATCATTTCTTTGAGTTATTTCTTTAAAAGAATCGCTAAATTAGTGCAGAGGTTATACAAATCGTGCGTTTTAAATCATTTTCAAATACGAATAATAACCAAATACATTGTAATGAACTATTTTGACGATTTCGGAACTCCAAGTAAGGAACGTCATTTTATATTCAAATCATTATCAATAATCGAAATAGTTATTGTTTTCCTTACACACTTTAATTACTTGACTAATATAAATAAAATTTTTCAGTCTGTTAGAAATATTTTAGGGGAAAAACATGATATGTTTCGGCAAGGATTCACAAATCACATGACAATACAAACAATGCACACGGAAGAAACATCGCTCTTAAAAATTACTCGATGACTTATCCTCTTCTTTTATAGTATCAATAACATTTTTTTTTACATAATATATACAATACAGTATATACATAATTTTGTAGATACTAATTTTCGTATACTTTTTCTTAACTGCATATTATTTTACAGTTTAAACTAACAATATGATTTGGTTTAACTTATATTACGTGTATTGTTAACGGACAAAAACAACATATTTGTTTTATACAAAGGGAGAACATTCGCCATAAATAATTGTTCTTGTATTTATATGTTGATATGTTATACAAAAAAAAAAAACTAATTCAATTAATTTTAAATTGAGATAAAAAAATCTGGAAATAAATACAATATTTATTTTTAATAAACTTGTTCTTACACAATAAAAATATAAGTATTACATTGGGATTTCTTTTTGTTGTGTTTCATTGTTGATAGAAATACAGATAATTAATTGATATAAATATTGTTTAATTATATTAATCAATCATGAATCATGTTTATCTTTTGAAACGTTTTTATCAAACTTTATAATAATTATTATAGATGGCGTTATATTGAAAGAAGATTTTATTACTGTCCCCCTTTTTCTATTTCATAATATATATAATATGTATTTTAACACAACTAGCAACATTATATACTTTTGTTCTTTTGGACAGATTCAAACGAACAAAAAAGAAAATAGCTCTAAGTATTGAGGAAAACACTTATACATTGCGAAATCTGTTACTGATGTGAATATAACCACGTCTATAGCTTATACTACATAACTACAATAAATTCATCTTAAATATTATGTTCCTATATAGTATACACTAAAAGTAAATTTGTTTGTTGATTCTATATTGGTAAAGAAGCTTAACAGAAGAAAACTGGCCTTGGCAATATACAGTCTTAAAAATTTGTGACTAAACCAAAATTATACTCATTTCATGACGATGTAAAACTTAATATTATTTTAAATGCAATATCATATTGTGTCTTTGGGTCAGTACATTATGCTTGAAATTTATAATTTAAGTGATTTTTTGGAAGTAGCAGCTGAAGTACTAGAATAAACATTGAGCTGTTTTATGACTTAAGAGCTGTCAATTATAGTAACAGTGCCAAGGAAAATCCAAGTCTTTATTCGATCAATGTAAATTACATTTTTTATTTTCGCCTTACTATGATATCGAGTTTGAAAAAGTTTTGTTTACAAGTAAGGCAATAAAAAATTTAAAAGACATCGACCGATTATCGTCTTTTTATCATTAGACTTTTATAATTCCTATCTCGATCAATTGACAATCTTTGACTTTTAAAACTTCATTTATTTGACATTGACAGCTGACAGTCCAAACTCCAAGTTAGATAAATCACCACTTAACGTTTATTAAGTACCTTATCGCGTTGAAATAAAGCATACATCTCGTTTTAATAATTTGAGCAAATTCTGATTTACTTTTAATATCGCAGACGGCAGAATCCTTGATAGAGGGTTTGTGAAAGGTCACTAGTTACTGTCCAAGTTTCTGTGTAGTCTTAATTATAGGAAATATCCAGAATAAACTCTTAGCCGGCTTATTATTTTTTGGATAGTTCTTACAAAAGTCAACGAAAATGGTTGTGTACAGTGGAGATGAAACATTGGATAGAGCTCTTGAAAGGTGGCTGAATATTGACCTGGTCAGTATTAATAATTCGTAATAAGTAATCTTAATTCGTAAAGTACCAGTTACTTTGAATACTTAGTAATCAGTTTTACAATGTTATTCATTTACTATTAATACGTTAAATGTACATAAATGTTTGAATAATCTAATTTATTTTCATGTTAAAACTAAAATTAAAATTACATATTTTTTAAATATCATAAAAATACACTTTTCTGCATATGTTCTTTTATATTATGTAAAATACATGTTTTGAGTGTATATAGTGTGACTTGAACATTAATATGTTTATTCAAAATATATTGTTACATGAAAACATGACAGTAGGAATAAGTTTTAATTATCACTTCTTGTATGTTATAAAGATAGGTATTTCTTGAAAAAGAATTGATTATGAAACAAATAATTTTAAATAAGTATTTTATCAGATTATATTTTACACATTATAATTAATGAATTTTTCACTCCTGCACATACTAAATAATTTATTAAATTTAAACAATTTTCTTTAATTTGTGTGATTTGGTGCCTTAGTAATAAAAAAAATACCCAAAATAAATAGAACATATTATATGTAGTGTGTTATTTTCAAAGTTTAATCAGATTAATTTTCTTATACAGTGCAGAGCAACTCGGGTTGAAGTTATGGAAGATATAGATGCCGGGCGATGGGATAAACTGAAAAAGACAATGCTGAGTCGGCAGAAGTTTGGGACAGCAGGGCTCCGAGGAAGGATGGGGGCTGGATACATGTGTATGAACGATGTGGTTGTACTACAGACAGCTCAGGTAAACATAGAGACAAAACCTCTCAGCATTCAATGTATTCACTGTGAGAGTGCCAGGTCCATCATTGCAGTGAGAGGAGCTTCAACAGTACCTGGGACTTGGACCCAGGTGTAGGTTTAAGGGACCCTATCTAACGCGCGTTAAACACTCTCCACCGTCCAAGCTGCTCTCTCTACCTAACCAATGGGAAATAGTTATTTGTAAAACAATATTTAGAATGACTTAAAAACTTACAATAAGTAATCTTGGAGTTTAAGTTCGATAATTTGATATATTTAAACAAACAATTTATGTTTAAATAAACTAATATAAACTTTGAATAAGATGTCAGTTTAAGATATAAATTTTACCGAGTTAAAATTTAAATCAGAAAAATTTTTTGGTAAATAAAGTGTAATTGATATAAAATCAGATGAATTATTTTAAGTATTAATTCATTTCTATAAAACAAAAAGATAATATTAGGTAGATTTATTTAGTTTTAATTTTTTAATAGTAGTAGCATTTAGAACAACAAAACATTTTTTGTCCATTCCATTATCACTGACTAAACAAATTGAATACCAAGTTGTTTTTATATATTTTTATGAAGAATCTTTAATATTAATTAGTTGAACTAATTTACTGATTCTCTTGACTTGGCCATGGTCTTACAACCGATTTAATTGACTATTTAAATTTTCATAGTGTTTAGTAGTAAAGTTTCATATTTTTTGTAATTTAATATGTTAAAAGCGTCATATCAGGTTTCATAGTGTTTTTATTCCAGGGTATATGTTCTTACATACAGAAGATATGTAATTTCGAGCAAATACAAAGCGGTGTTGTCATCGGTTATGATGGAAGATACAACTCAAGGCGGTAAGTTATTTATTTAAATATTATAGGAGTTTGTATATGTATTAAGTTTATTTTCTTTGTTTATGTGAATAAGTATGTATTATAATGTATATGTATTGAATTTTTATCTTATCACACGTCATGAATTAAAACATTTATAGACAAGACATTAACAACTTAAAAACACAAATTTGAGTTTAAACGCGATTATCTATAAACATAAGTTCAATTCTATATAACTAATAACTTCGGTTCAATAACAACTTTCTTTCAAATATTTGTTGTAATAATCAGCAGTTGCTTTTCGATCAAACACAATCAAGCAATAGATTAGAAAAAATAACCTTGTAAGATATTGGCGGGTTTTCAATCATTTCTGTCATCTTAAATTAGCTTGACATTAAAATTCTAATGTAATGTAGATTACATCTGTGAACATTCCGATTTAACAAATGTTTTGTTTTCTTTGAACATTTTTATGACAATATTTCAGTATAATCAATATGTTTTTTTAAGTTGACGTCTATGTGATGTAATATCGCAATTTTTTTAATTATGTTCAAAACTCTTAACTTCGATAACTTATCTGCCGAATATAATTGTAAACAATATATATAATATGATTTATTTTGTAGTATTTAAAACTGTTATATTTAGGTGTATAGGAATTTTATATGGGACTAGTTTTTGACAGCGGTCTCGTCTGCGTTAGTTTCAGATTTTTTTTTTTTTCGAATTGACATATGCTGTTAGCCCTAGTGGCTTTGACAGCGTCACCGAGAGGGGTGGGTGGTCCTGATGGGACCGACCCGATTAATTCGGGCCCGAAGGGCCCGACCAGGGATACGCCCGTCCCAAGGGTGCCTCTAGGAGGCCGGACCTCGGCTTAGGACGTCGTTGTCGTGGAGGTATTAGTGGGTTGATTGAATGCATGACGCCCCCCGACGGCAGAACGCCGGAGTGACGTGTATGAAACGGGACCTCGCCTTCGCCGGCGAAGGCGGTGTGTGTTTCTGATGTCAGGTGTGTTGTTGGGATTATTGTTCGTATTGTCTGTCGTGATCTGGTCGTCAGGGTCTAAGAGGACGTCTTTGGGACGCCTCTTACCTAATTTGGAGTTTCAGAATTAGAAATGTATATCTGACCGGGAGTACTATGTGTCTCCTTAAAAACTACTGTTTTTTACTACTGTTATTTACTAATAAGAAGACTTTTTTTTCATTTCAAATGGATGAAAAGTATTCTATGTATGTTCTTTCACTTATTCTAAGCAATCTGTCCACTAATTTTCAACCAAACCCGTACTATACTCTTGACTTGTACGTGTAACTAACACGACTTTCTTCCATATATAAAGACGATATAATTATTTTAAGGTTTGCTGAGCTCACAGCGAAGGTATTCGTAAGTTCTTCCATCCCAGTCCATTTGTTCTCCGAAGTCTGCCCTACACCCCTCGTGTCATACGCGACAATATCTTATGGGGCAGCTGTAGGTATCATGGTGACTGCTTCCCATAACCCCAAAGACGATAACGGCTACAAAGTCTACTGGAGCAACGGATCCCAGATAATAGCGCCACACGATGAGAACATTCTAGAAGAAATATATAGCTGCTTAGAGTGAGTTGACAATAATGAGATCTGTCGCGATTATTCATTTGAATGAAACTAATATTATTCGGATTACTACATATATTTTATTATTTTTAACTACATACTACCGACGTATCGGTTACTTTGCAGCAACCGTGATCAAACAAACGAGATGAATAAAATAAAACGTAGTAATCCGAAAATATTAGTTTCATTTCTGTCGAGAGATATTTCAGAAATTGTTTAAAGTTTGACTTCGGTTTCGATTTAAACACATTTATTTCTCAGTTCACTTATAATAAGAAATTACAATAATTTTGCATGAGACTACATTTAAAAGTCTGCCTTATGAATTATATACAGTGAAATAAAATTTTGCGAGTAGATTTAATTATTATTTTCAAAATTATCCCTCTAAAGCATACCACTAGAGCATTGGAACACAAACAACATAACGAGCCATGAATTGGTGAAGGATTGTACAGAAGACATCACCAACAAATACATGGAGTACATCAAGACGTGTTTACACGAGGACGTGTTGGAACAGAACAGACTCGCGAAAATAAACGCGGTGTATAGCGCCATGCACGGCGTGGGGTATGAATATATTGTGAAGGCGTTCCAAGCTGCTAACTTACAGGTATTGTTGACTGGGTAATAGGAAAATATTATGGCAGTATCTTTGATATATATATAATATATATATTCTGAACTAGCTTTCCGCCCACAGCTTCGCCCGCGTGGAGTTCGGTTATATCGTGTTTCCAAAAGAACTTTTTTCTCAAGGTCAACTCTATCGCAGAACCAAATTTCATTAAAATCAATTCAGTGGTTTAGGCTTGAAAGCGTAACAGACAGACAGACAGAGTTACTTTCCCATTTATAATATTAGTAGGGGTTGTGTGTCTAAATATAAAACCTTATTTTATGCGAATTCACTTGTATATTGCAATTTGAATGTATACAGCACATAACAAATCAAAATCTTAGAAATTATTATAATATTGGATTCCTTAAAGAACTCCCTACTTACTTTAAATTTTATCATTGCCTAATCTCTCATTAACATAATATGTATAACATAAAGGAAAATTATATTATTTACTTACTTACTTACATATTACATAAAAAAATATATATATGACTATACATAGGCTAACATATTTCCAGTTACATTCGAAAGAGCCAGAAAATGTTCATCATATAAAAAAATTCCTTCCATAAAAATATTCTTTCTTTCTTTCTTTTCCATAGGCCCCTACCAGCGTTATAGAGCAACAATCCCCAAACCCTGAGTTCCCTACAGTTATGTTCCCTAATCCCGAAGAAAGGGAATGTTTAGATCTCAGCAAGGAATTAGCTGAGGAAAGAGGAATAAACTTGGTGCTAGTGAACGACCCTGACGCTGACAGACTGGCAGTAGCTGAATATAATAAGGAGTAAATTATTTAATGTCTACCAAAAAACTAATAATCTTAATAATCAATTTTGCATACCCTCAAATCGGTCCTAATGTGAGAAATTCTCATTATTGGACGACTTACAATATGTTTATTCTTTTCAACAACTTTGAAAATAATAAAGTTTCTGCACAAATAAATTACTAATAAAATCAATTATTTCCCACATATATTGGTCATTTACAGAAATTCTTACAAAATTTCAAGTTATAATTAAATGGATAGTAATTTTTTTGCTGAAACTAAATTCTTATGCAATTTTTCAGAGCAAAATCCTGGAAAGTATTCACCGGGAACGAAATGGGATCTTTACTAGGATGGTGGATTTTACAACAATATTGTGCACACAACACTATCGAAGAAGAAGTTTACTTGCTAGCAAGTTTCGTTAGCTCTAAAATGTTACGAGCCATCGCTAAAGGAAAAGGACAGTTGGTTGAAACACTCACTGGCTTTAAATGGATGGGTGAGAATAATGATTATAACTTATTAGCTATTGAAACTAATACAAATTAGTCTTAGTGGGTGAATTAATATTTCCGACGTTTTGGTATACAGAGTGTGTAGTTTAAAATGATAAAATACGAGTACATATATGTAGTATAATCCGAAAATATTAGTTGCATTTAAATGAATACTAGCGAAAGTCTTAGATCTCATTATTAGTCTAAATGAGATCTTCTTCAAGTATTCAATTAAATCACCAATCTTTTAGAATACTAGATAGAATCTCGTCTGTCCGTGATCACGGTTGCTACAAAGTAACCGAAACGTCGGGAGTATGTAGTTAAAATGATTAAAAACTCTTAGTTATTCCGAAAATATTAATAAATCTCATATGTGGATGACAATTAGGTAAAACCATTTAGTATATCTTGAATTATTTTCCTCAGGTAACGCCACTCTGCTATTATTGCAACAAGGCAAAGTTCCATTGTTCGCTTTCGAAGAAGCGATCGGCTACATGTGTAACCCGAGAGTACCTGATAAAGACGGAATCTCAGCCGCCGTACAAGTTAGTATATACTTACACTTACAATTAACTTTGTATTTGTAGGAATGAAAGTAAAAGAAAAGATAGACAAAAAACTTTCAGAATTAAATTTTATTATATTTTAAACAGATACATAATATAAGTGTACAGCTATTCTAGATTAAAAGTAAAATATGCAAAACTTGTACAACCCCAGATGGAAATATTACGAATATTATGGAAAAAACTTATTTAATAAAAAATTTGATACCATACAACTATACAAATTCTCCTTCACTTGACATTGTGTTTTCAACATTTGACGCTGCCATCAGTACAAAGGATGAAGTGTTTAAGGTGCGGGGCGGAGTAAAAGCAGAATAAACCGGTTCAAAACTAGAAAAACACTTGGCACGTACAAATTTGACATCACACCTACACTATCCGTGTACACTCACACAAATACAAGGCTCAGCTTAAATCAAACGCACTATAACTTAACTATAATTAATCTTATTACTATTAATATCTTTTAATCCTTATTTTTCCAGGTAGCCTCATTAGCATCGAAGTTGTACGCCAATCGGTCGACCCTGTTCGATCAGTTACAATCTCTATACAAAGAGTACGGCTACCACATATCACTGAACTCATACTACATCGTTAAAGATCAAAACATTATTCAGAAGATATTCAGACGAATCAGGAATTTCCACGGGCCGGGCGAGGTGAGATATGGCTCATATATGTATATTATGACGTGTATGTAGATAAGGAAATTACCCATTAACTTCCTATTGGACAAAAAAATGGGGAAAACACCTATCTAAATAGAGTTAATAATTTGTATATGACTATTGAAATACTTGAAAAATATTATAATCATTTTATATACTTATTTTATTTCAATAATCAGCAGCTTGGATTAGTGATAATTAATATAGGTGAAATAGGATGTCAATTTAGTCAAATAAAAATATGTTCTACTATGTGTAAATGCGAAAGTTCGTGAAAATGTGTGGATGTTTGTATCTCTTTTCCGCAAAGACTACTTAACGTATTTTTATAAAACTTTATCATAATGTAGCTTACATATAAGAATAAGACATAGACTATAATTTATCTTGGATTCACTCTTATTTATCGTGGCATAACAAAGTTATTGTGGATGAATTTACGTTTAGTCACAAACTATAGATGCCACTATCATATCTTACATTTTAATACATATTATACAATATTTTCCTCTGAGCTAAATTTCGAAGTAAAAACAGACAGAGTCAGAGTCAGAGACAGTATGTATTATAATATATTTCTCTTACAGTACCCGAGGGTAGTGGGTCCTTGTGAGGTAACATTTATGAATGACTTCGCGGCCGGAGTCAAAATACCAGAAGATAATAATAAAGACGCACATCTCAGTGAGTATATTATAATTATTGTTACTTATATGCCTCCAATAAGCTATTAACAAAATATTAATATACCTATATATAACTTATATCTCTGTCTCACTTTCGTTCGCCTTGAACGATCACACTTTTCGTAACGCATTCACCAGCTAACCCCCAAGCGTGCGTGATGTAGTTTTAGTTCAAAAATCGATGTCTCCTAAGACATAGGATCAGTATCTTAAACCTTACCATTAACATTGTTATAATTTCTTTTATATCTCAAGATCTATATTTTCTGTTTTCTCAAAGATATATAAAGAAAATTATATGGTTCATTGAAATCTTATATTTTTGACTATCTGAATCCATAACTAATGTTCAAAGACGATTCATTCTTCTAACTTTTTCCTCCTAACTTATTAATTTCCTCTACTAGTATAAGTATTTTTTTTATCTAATTTCATAACAGCATTATTCAAATATGGTTGATTTTTCAATCATTTTCCTCTTAACATTATAATCTATGCTGACATATATACAAGAACCTATTATATTATTTACTATATAATATATTTTGTTTATTACAGAGGTACTAGGTACGGGTCTAGACAAAGACTATACAAGCGGGGAGATGATCACATTCTCGTGTAGTTCAGGATTAGCAGTCACTGTACGTACGAGCGGGACTGAGCCTAAACTCAAATACTACACCGAGTATGTTTGTCACGCGCCTACACTCAGGTAAATCCTACTAATATTATAATTGCGAAAGTTTGTGAGTGTGTGTGTGTATGTTTGTTACTTCTTCACGCTCAAACGGCTGAACCGATTTTGATAAAATTTTGTATACAGGAAGCTGACGTCCAGGAATAACATATAGGCTACTTTACATCCCGGAAATCGTTTGACCTGATAATCCGAGGGTAACACCGTGGGGTGCAGCTAGTAAACTAATAATAGTGGCTTGAGTTCGTAATGTCAGAATGAAAATAAGAAGCTGTTTTTTATTTTACCCAAAGTGGCAATAAATAGACGGTCTATCTGATGGAAGGTAGTCTTGAAATTATTATTAGTGTTGTAGATGCGTTGCCTTAAAATTGTGGTCATTTATGAACATTATTAATATTACTTATAAGTCACAATTGATTGAATGCATACCGTCGAGCGTCAGGCATTCAATCTCGCTGTCTCCTTCTATCCCCTCCCCTCAGGAGCGTTAAACGTTTAAGGCATCCTTGGAAGTCGCATAAATAGTTTCACTTTAATATAGATTATATGTGATATGGAGTAAGTCCGAACTTGCTACCTACAGAATATTGTTATGCAGTCACTTTAACAACTAAACTAACGTGTCATAATGTCTTTCGAAATATTTGTATTTATTAAAATGTAATCGCGACATAGTTTTATATATAATACCCAGTGAACTTCGTATCGCCCTATAATCAAGAAATATCTGTTACTTTTTTTAATAAATAAATTTAGGTTATGCCTTAGCCTCAGGGGTGGTTATGCAATTATTAAAAAGACGCTCATATATGAAGTTTGTATTTTTAACATAGTGCCATCTATTGAACACTTAACTTACTTCATTGTATTGTCTTAAACGTGAAACTTTTAGTAGACAAAGAGTATATAAAAGAAACCTGTGTTTGTTTTTTATTTCCAGGGAACAAGAGGAAAAGAAAATTATAATGGAGGAAATGGTGAAAGAGTTTATTAACGATCTTCTTCAACCTAAAGAAAACGGCCTGGTCGCCTGAATACATTCCGACTAATATTTAATATTATTTTATTCTGCCAACATTACCATATTTATTTAACCAAAGTTGTTATATTCTGTGATAGTTGTTTCCGTTGAACGTGACTTGTTTGTTTTTTAATTTATTTTGTGATATTTTAATCATAATTTCCGAACATATCTTTCGTTCATAATTTTGAATTACATACAAGTTTATTGTTAATTTTCCATGTACATTATCTCAATGTGTCAAATAAAATTATAAACTAAGGTTAGTTTAACAAACCTACAAGTCTATAAGACTCGTGTCTTATACTTTTTTTATACAAATATTTAATCTATACTATATTGCCATATGTAAAAAAAAAACATTTTGTAATAAACATATAATATAATTTGTATTTTATTTTTCACAATCATATATATGTGTTCATTCTGTCTCGCTGCTCCTCTCGCCAGCATCTGCCTCTAATCGAAGTCTCTCTTTTTCTTTAATATTTTTTTCTATCAAAGTGTCTAATTCCGGACTTAATAGAACTGACAATCCCGCTGTTATCGGTACCTTTGAAAACATCAATATTTTTACTATTAATAAAAACATTAAGGATATTCGGACTTGTTTACTAGTTTTAATGATTATATTAATACCTCAGCAAATATAGGTCTAGCAGCATCCCACCTCTCGATGTGATTGTCAATGATCTTGACGCAGGGATTCGCTTTCGGTATAATGCGACTTAAAATTCTGTGAAATTTTAATTAAAACTTAATTAATTAACTCTCTCTTTTTTAGTTAGTAGCGTTTCCTTGATTTTGCCAATGTGATATTAATCTAAGCGCACGGTAGTGCGCCGGCCAAGTTCCAGCAACAGGCCGCGCGCATGCCGTGCACTATTTACACGAACCGTTTCGACCCACTTTTGACCCCCCTGTAGCTCAGTGCCTATTGCAAGTGCAGAGATAAAATTGTACCTACTTAATCATATACTAGTACTAAAGCAGTATGCCAAATTTCATAGATAAAGCTTCAGTAGATCCTGAAATATGACCCTGTGAAAATAGCTAATTTTGGCACTGACTCACTGACAGGTAATCAAAACCTTTAGGCCACTTCCCATTGTTTTAGCATTATGAAATTTGGTACACAGGTTGTGTGTTATGTGTAGATTAACAAAAAAATTAAGAAATCGGTCAAGCGTGAGTTGCCTCAATTCTAATATCGAATTTTTAATAAAAATATTTATGAACCAGTGAATACAACGAGAATACGAAGCGGTGTAATTGGGGGGGGGGGGGGGGGGGGGGGGGTATAAAATATGTAATAAAAAATTTAAGAAATCGGTCAAGCGTGAGTTTAGGCTTAATCGAATATCGAATTTTTATTACACGCTGTATATTAGCATCACTTGTATGTTTATTTGTTTGTATGTATGTAACTCTCCTTTTTTAACACGCTTCTTATGCGCTGCTGTGATATGGGTATCCAATGAAAGAGTTTGAGGAGAAGAATATTGGGACGGCAAAATATCCAGACCAGAGGAAATTAATATCCAGACCAGAGGAAATTAATAATATGAGTACATCTATCAATCGGTGATAAATGAAACTAAAAACTAAAAAATAAATATAGTTTAAAAAAAACTAAAAAACACGCTCCAATGATGAAAAAAACCGCGTGGAAACTAATTTAACCTTTACAACCTTGGAAATTAATTTAATTTAAATTGTTTAAAATAAACAATAAATGGTATTTTTGAAAAAAGCGTGGGGCGCTACTCAAGAAGTGATATATGAAGCTCCCCACGCTTTTTTTCACAAAAATACCATTTATTGTTTGTTTATTTATTTATTAATTAATTTGATCTACCAACATTTGTACACATCATCACATACTTAAAATACACAATACACATAACTTAAAACTAGGTGTGACAAACATTTACAGGTAGATACATCATGCTTAATATTCCTCCCAGCGCGAGCCGCGGTAAAAACAAAACCAATAAATTTTAATAAAAATATAAAAAAGAAATAAAATAATAAAAGGTAAACTTACAAAATAAAATAAAAAATGAAATACTGAATGAATTGTTAATTTACTTTTAAATTAATATTATTGTGAAAAAAGTGTGGAGCGCTTAATTTAATTTAATTATATAAATAATAAATTAATGATACAATTAATTAAGTGTTACGTACAGCACGAAAACCTGCCAAGTTGAAATTTAGAAGTATTATAATTTTAGATATTTTTAACCAAGCACCTACGTATTTTCACAACTATACCATATTTTAAGTTGGGTGTATGGTAAAGTGAATTTCGGCCAGATAGACCGTTGACGTGAATAAGGTGGCGGGTAGTGGCTGGATGTGGAAGGCAGAGGACTGGGTGTGGTGGCGAGTCTTGGGAATGGCAAATGTTTACCAGTGGATCATGCTGTTGATGAAGATGATTATGATCGATTTCAAAGTGCATCTAAACTTGGTATTAGATTGGATTTCAACCCTTTTTTAGGCAAACAATTAGCCGATTGGAACTTGGCCCCCTTTTTAACAGGCATGTTTTTGGTGATATTAATTTACTGAACTATGTAAAGATGGATTTGTGAATGAAGAAAGTCGCGAATTATTTTTTCGTCTAATTCAGCAATTACATTTGTGACATAATGTAAATATTTTGTAAAATAAAATATTTAATTAGAAAATCGGAAGCGAATAATCTTACAATACTTATAATAATAATAATAATAATAATAATCTTTATGAACCCCACATACATGATTACTTATTTTGTAGCACCGGTATAATTTAAAAAAATATTCGAGTGTTGTCACACCTATACTTAAACTGCTTACCTAATTGAAATTAATTAACATGGCAACACTAACTCAAATAACGGTAGACACGTAGTATTAAGGAACTGTATCTCAAGGTCAGGTATAAAACACTTCTCTCTGTCCATAATAGTGACGGGCAGCTCGCCTCGACTCTTCTCCAATTCCCCTTGCTTGAAGAACTCTGTCAATACGGCGGCCTGGAGATATTTAGTAGGAAAATATGTAATAATACTTCATATTATGAAAGTAACTGGTTGAAAGCGTATAAGATCTAAGATTTTCGGGAGTTTTCATTGAAATATGACTAATATTTTCGTATTTACGATGCGTTTTAATTATATAATGAGAATCTTATATCGCTTGCCGGTAATCACAACTGCAAGAAACCGAATCGTTGGATGTATATAGTAATCGAAAATATTCGATTTATTTATTTAAAGTCCTATAAAAAAATATGGAAAAGTTGATTGAAAAGTCATTCCATACAGATATAAGGCATATAAATATTTACTATCACAATTCCTGAAAAAATATTATATGTAGGAAAGGTATTTAATGCAATTACACACAGACTTTAATAGATGTCATAGAATTGTGGAACAACTGCCTATAACATCCTAGTATGAAAGAACTATATGGATAAATTTATATTTAGTTGTTTAATAAGATCTTTGGAAGCGTTGGAGCTTGTTTGTCTATATCAAAAGGAGAACTTGAAACTCTACTAAAGTACAGTTAGCAATTAATGAAACACTTTAGATGACAAATATCCCAAAAACTCATACAAAATACACTTCTACCTCTAACATATCTTGAAAATTATCCCACTTTATTTCCCCATGTGATGTTTTAAAGTTTCCTTTCAGAGTTCACACTAATATAAAACTAGAAGAGTTAAAACGAGTCCATAAAAAAGCAGAATATGAATAATAATATCATTTCTAACAAAGATAAAGGCAAGTAGTCACCGCTGTCTTCTTAACGCTGCCCCAGTCTTTAAGTTGATCGCTCAAGTCGGCCGCGTTCATCATCATCGCTTGGAGCGCGCTCGTGTGAGATCGATTGCCTTTTTGGAAGTCGTATGATATAGCCTTAAAGTCGTTTAGATTTCTGGTGGACAGAAACGTAGCAATTTCTATCATTAATGGATTATTAGGCAGACCCTGGCTGAGGCTGGGAAATTGCCAGGAAGTAGAAGAATAGATTATTACCACAAAGTGCTATCGAAGGGCAGTTTCTAATTAATATCAATCAAATGTCTGTCTCACGTTTGAACCCACGATACGTTGTACATTACCTTTTCAAATGAAGATTAACTACCAATCTATTCTACTACAATAGACATAATACCTCTAACTATCTAAGAAAATCTCATTAATACGTTAATATAAACATGATTTACTTGAAATAGTTAGCTAGATCCGTAGCCAGTATGTAATCTCTGAGTAATATAATGGCCCTGTCATACTCCCTCCTCGGTAAAGACTCCAGAATGTCACAGCCGTCTGTATTTAGCACGCACATGGCCTGCGCCAAGTGATGTCGCTCCATCACACTACCCTCGCTAGAGTATAATGCTGCTAACGTGGTCTCTGGAGGTAATAGGAACCAGGGAATAGAATAATATATACCAAAGACGAATTAAGCGGAAGAAAATATTAGACCAAAAAATATGGGGCAGAATTATTGTCTTAAGATCTAATATATAAACCAATATTTGATAATGAGATCTAAGACGAATGAAATGATACTAATATTTTTTGGGCAATGAGCAGAAGTGCTGAAAAATAGCTGAAACATCGGAAGCATTTAGTCTTTTTACAAAAAAAAAATCACGCGTAGTACATTCGAAGAATATTTGTTTCACTTAAACCAATATTCGATAGGAAAAATGAGTTAAATTTCATATGGACATGATGAGGGTTTCTTGGGAAGTTGAAATAATGATGAATACTAACGGCCCTGTATTTGGAAGCTGTTAGTGGTCCCGCGGTGATCCAAATCGTGAACTAAGCCAGCCACCATATACATAAGTCCTTGGAGCTCACTGGAATAGTTAGATATAATATATATATATATATATATATATATATATATATATATATATATATATATATATATATATATATATATATGGTAGTGTCTCAAGTGACAATCAATAAGAAAGTGTAATGCTTCTATATTGAATAAAGTTATTTGAGTTTGAGTTTATATATATATGCTAGCTGACCCGGCAGACTTCGTACTGCCTCAATCAAGAAATGAATAATGTCTTATTTATTTTTTTGGACTATACCTTTAAGCCATAAATCTCCATGCTCTGAAGTGCGACAGAATGATTGACAAATTGAACTATTAGTTAGTTGTCAAATCTAATGTCAAAAAAACGTTTGTATGGGAAATAGAAAAGGACTGTTTTTAGGGTTTTCTCGGAAATTATTCAATATTTTTCAGCTTTTAAATCTTCCCTGAACCTCCACGAACATGTAACTAAGATAAGATAAATCCGTTCAGCAGTTCTCGAGTTTTAGTGAGACTAATGAACAGCAATTCATTTTTATATACATATATAGATATCACATAACTACAACACATGAGTACTGAGCCAATAGCTTAAACGTACGTGTAGTAACCCTGGGACACCAGCTTGTAGTTTATGATAGCAGCATACGCCCACTGAGACACGTTGAACGCGTGCAACCAACTGTGGTAAGGAACGTCCCGGTAACCTTTCTTCACGTGCAGAATAAACCTTGCCAGCTTTTGGGACTTTATATTGAATCTGGAAGTTTTTGGCTGAAGATAAAAACTAGCATAATATTGAAAATTGAAGAAGTATTTAAATAGTACTGCTGTTATTTTGCTTGGATAATCCTGTTCAAATATTCACAACTAAAACGCTATTACGCCACAAACAACTCAACTCTACAAATAGATACCTAAGCTAGTTTTTTCTGCACTCTTGATGAATTTATTCAAATTTTAAAATAACTATATACTTATGGACAATAAATAATACTTTTTATCAAAGCCAAGATCCGAGAACATTTTGAACACGTAGCACGGCAGTTCCCTGAGAGGTAAAGCTCGCAGATTGAAATGTAAGCTGGTTATATGAGCTTGGTTGTGGAACCCCGTGCACTCCAACATACGACTCACCTCCGCGTCGCTTACCTTCAACCATACGTTATAATATATTTTATATAAGGTCTCCTATAGATGAGTTATAAGGGATTTTTTTCTCAGGGATTAAGAGAGGATATGTTCCATAAATATACAAAATTTTATGCAGCTATGTATTTTTTTTGCTATTTTCACACAATTCCTGACTTTACATTAACAGAAAATTAATGTTTAACAATATATACGTAATTTTTTTAAGTTAAAATAAAAGTACAATCATAGCAAAAGATTTAACAGAATAAAAAACCTAGTAAACCTGATTTACCTCTTCTAAATCAAGACAAACATAGCAATTAACAGAATAAGGTACCTATTACTTCTGATATCTTGTATAAATCTAGAGATACATAACAATTCTTACCTACCCTACACACCAATCAAAATATTTACCTTCATATGATACATGACCAATTCATTAGTGAGAGCGTTCCTAATGTGAGCCTCCTGTATCTTCTGATACACAACAGAATGAGTGATGCAAACCCCACAGTATATACTGAAAGCCAAGGCCATCTCCTCGTCCATAGCATCAAAGTATGGATCGCCGATTTTATTGATCAAGAGACCCACACCTATGATGCCTGAACGCTCGCAAATTGGGAAGCAGAGGATTGACCTGGGATTATAATCAGTATACTAGCTTTCCGCCCGCAGCTTCGCCGCGTGGAGTTCGGTTATATCGCGTTTCCAAGAGAACCTTTCAAAAGTCTGGGATAAAAACTATCCTATGTTCTTTCTCAAGGTCAACTCTATCTCTGTACCGAATTTCATTAAAATCAGTTCAGTGGTTTAGGCGTGAAAGCGTAGCAGACAGACAGACAGACAGACAGACAGACAGAGTTACTTTCGCATTTATAATATTATATATTATAGTAGGGATTTACTTCCAAAAAGAAGGAATCTAAAGGAAAAAAATAGGTCAAAATCCCCTACTTGCATTCTATGTCGGGATAACAATCTATAGACGGGTCGAAGGCAGCGTGTTCCTTGGCGTTCTTGCAGTTGATTAGTTTACCAGTTTTAATAACCTGTCCCGTTATACCTATGTTTATAGGAAACCTTCGCTCTGAGGATTCATTGCCGTCCTGGAGAAGTCCATTTTTATGCTAAGTTTATTATACAACAAAGAAGTATATTCCTAATAAAAATATTCAATATACGTTACCATCTTTAAATTAAGTCTATCTATTTATTAACAACTAGCTTTCCGCCCGCAGCTTCGCCCGCGTGGAGTTCGGTTATATCGCGTTTCCAAGAGAACCTTTCAAAAGTCTGGGATAAAAACTATACTATGTTCTTTCTCAAGGTCAACTCTATCTCCGTATTAAATTTCATTAAAATCAGTTCAGTGGTTTAGGCGTGAAAGCGTAACAGATAGACAGAGTTACTTTCAAATTTATATATTTTTTAATAAAGACGTACACCTTGCACCATATGTCCGAGATTGCTTCGTTCGACCAGTTCCATTCGGTCCACGTCTACCAACATTACAGAGCAATGCTCCGCTTTCGTAAGTTGTTTGGCTTGCTCCATGGCCATTTGAAGCAGAGTCTCCAAGGATGCCACCTTTCAAATAATAACATAATTAGTTGACGGCGTATTTTATGCACAATAACAACGCCAATGGAAGCAATATCAATAAAACAGAGCTAAATTTGCTCAATCACCAGACTTGGTAAAAGATCTTCAAGGAATTTTAAATTCATTGGAATCTCATCTGCAAAATTGTTGAGATATTTTTAGGTCGTTATTTTAATCATATAATCGTTTCCACGCCTAAGAAATAATTTATCTCAAAGTGGACAGTAAACCAAATAAGTTTGGGATCCTCTGGCATTATACAACAAGCCTAATACATGAAAATACTTAAATACGGATTCTAGATGTAAAAAAAATACCAAATTATGACGCTACCAATAGAGATTTATACGCATTTGCATATGCAAAAATACAAGTAATATAATGTGACCGAAAATAAAACGGTGTGTGATCATTTTTAATCAATTAAATTAATAATTGTGATCAATTTTACTTGTGTGAACAGTCTTCTGGCTACACGCAGTAACTGCTGACATTTCTGTTTCAAAGTACACTCGTATTCCAGAGCAATGCTTTTCTTAAGTACTGGCCATACAAACCTGTTAGATTCAAAATGTGCTTTGAGAAAATAATTTGAGGGTAGTTATACGATAATAATAATAATTACGTAAATCTAAATAAACTACAAAATTATTACATAATAACTAATTAATTTCTTAATTTAAATACATACACAAAACACTCGTGTATAATCAAAGCTACTTGTTCTTCAACAATCTTCGGGGCGACGGCACAGATTATAATTGAAAATGGATTATCTACTACTGGAAACATTATGACGCGTTTCTTAGACTCCTTAGTCACGAACTGGGATTAAAAACTTTAATTAATACAAATTAAAGTCTTGGTGAATATTATTATTATAAGTAACAGTGGTATTATCAATTTATTGTAATATTGAGTGTAATCAAAAAATACAAACCGGTTGTAAAATCGTTTGGACATCGGATCCAAAATTAGACAAAAAATCACTTTGGTCGATAGACGATTTTAATAAGTCGGAAAGCTTTTGCGTCATCTACAATTATTAAATTGAATTAATTTGAATTAAAACTTTAACATGATTAGTTTAAGAAAAAATCTATCAACATCTTTACTGATTTGACCATCTCAATACTTCATATTATATATTGCAATCAGAAAACTAGAAGTATAAATATATATTTTAATTAAAATAATTACGCAAATCTTAATTTTTCGCGACAACTGTATCAAACCAACGGTTTCAATCGAGGCTTCAACGCCCCCATGCACTATTATCTCAAACACGGTCTCGGCGTCGCATTCTTCTTTTAACTGGACAATAAATATAAGAACAATTTTCATTCATCGTTATTCTTATCTTAATAAGATACTATACTGATCATCTAATCTAATTATCCTCGGAAACTTACGTAAGAGTTAATTTTTATTTGTAATTGAGAACAGCTATCGTCAGTTAAGTTCATTACCAAATCTAATATTTTACCAGGATCACTGTTTTGGATATGTTTTCGTTTATTCGTCTTTTTTAACGCCGCCATTCAAATTATTAATAAAAATTATTAAATAAGTGATTAAATATTTTTAAATTATTAAGAAATCAATAATAATTTTAAAATATAACGTTTCGTCTTTATAAAAGTAGATGAGATTTCATAAGTCAAGTTTTTCACAGATTCTACTTTTCGAATATTTGGATACATTATTATTAAAATTATAATTAGATATATATGTATTACTTAAATAATAATTTTATTGTGTTTATAATTCAGTCTAATTAATCTAGTACAACATTTTTATGTACAATTTTGAGACATATTAAACAATATGGTAATATTGTTTTATCTGTCATGAATAGCAAAATTTGATATCTGTTATTTTAAAAAGTAAGCTAGAAAATCAAAACAGCTGATAAGTGATGAAAAGTTGTCTCGAATAATTTTAATTGGTATTTATCTGATACATATCGGATTTAAAAATGGCTGAGATACAGACGTTAATTGAAATGGGTTTTCCGAAAGACAGAGCGTAAGTTTTTTTTATTATAAAACCTATTTAAAAACGATCAGGTTACATTAATATCATTGGTTTTAGTGAAAAAGCTCTGGCGGTGACAAATTACAAAGGTGTAGAGCCGGCAATGGAGTGGTTATTAGCTCACGCTGATGATCCAGAGCCTAGTACGGGACATATAATTGGTGAAAACCAGCCACAAAGCAGCAATGAACCTTCTGGCGCGGCCGCCGACACTCAATCCAAAGAGTCAGCTGAGGAAGAAGCGAAGTCATTTAAATGTGACGAATGTGGAAAACTGTTTAAAAATCAGGATGAAATGGAATTCCATGCTGCGAAGACGAACCACAGTAGTTTTTCAGAATCCACCGAAGAGAAAAAACCTTTGACTGAGGAGGAAAAAAAAGCTCAGCTGGCATTACTGGAGGAGAGAATGAAACAGAAACGTAAAGAAAGAGAGGAGAGAGAGAAGGTATTACAATAATATGTTTTACTCTTGTTATTATATTTTGTGTGTATTAATAGTTAAATTATTAGTTTTCTCCTTCTGAACTGTATGAACTTAACCTTTCTGTGTCAGTCTTGTAACTTTCTTCTGTGTGCATTGTAACAATATAATTAAATTCCAAGTAGTGTCGTGAACTTTTATTAAACCAATGTAACAGACATTAACATCTCCATATACTTTTCAAGAAGATGTATATTTGTTAGAAAATATTTAATACTAACTGTATTCTTTATACACTAACAGAGTTGATATGGAAAAAATATTTTTTTGCATGAATCTACAACACACAAATCATATTGTTTGTTTAGTGTAAATTGAGTATGTAATATCAATATTGAAGAGTAATGATTTAAAGTATAGACTAGTTTAAGTGTAAGAAAACAACAAATATATAGGATATCTTAAGATTGTTATTCTATCATGTATGAGGAAAATATATTAAGCTATGATAAATCTTATTTAATATTAATCAATAATATTATATTTGAATTTTTATTTTGTGAATTTCTAATTGGAAAACAAATAGAAAGTTACTAAGGTATTATTGAAACATGATTATTATAATTAAAACATTACTTAAAAACTTCGTTTATACTTTAGATTTTTTCATACACCTTTATTTTCAGGCTGAAGCATTAGAAAGGGAGAGGCTCCGTATCAAATCAGGGAAGGATTTGCAAGAGGCTCGGCAAAGAATGCAGGAACAGGAAATGCAGAAACTGGTCGAGCAACGAAGAAGGGAGAAACTAGAAGATCAACGAGCAAGGGAGAGAGTTCGTGCACAAATAGAAGCAGACAGGCAGGCTAGGAAGTATGTATTTATGTTAATATACACTATTATACATATATGTGATAGTTATTGACCAGTAACATTCCATTATACTATTACAACTAACAAAAATATATGATATCTTAAATATAAAAGGTGTCCGTTTGGGTTATAGTAGGTTATTCCGAGTCAGTATCTACTTAGGATGACGGTGCAAAAAAGTAAACTAGACATTTCTATTGATTTTTAAATAACTTAAACATGATTGGAAAACAGTGGAAATGAAAATATACAAAGCAATAATTTAGTGTGTGGAGTGAATGAAAGCATGTGTGTGAGTTTGTGCATATTGGTGCATGTGTGTGAATTCATTTAAAGTATCTCATGATACTGTTTAGATTTCTCTACATGAAAACAATATTTACTTTGAATATTAGCAACATATTTTTAAATGACCTTCATGGTCTACATATGATTTATTCTGTTAATATCCTTCTAGACAAGCTTTATCTGGTCAACCGGCTCCAGAACCAGCCCCGGCACCAATCCCAGCACCAGTAGCAAGCAACCCTACACCCAAAACATATGACTCAGCTAGGATCCAGCTCAAATTACCCGATGGACAGTCAATATCGCACACATTCAGTGCCAAGGAACAATTGGCCGCTGTAAAGTATGTTATACTTAATATTATTATAAATGCGAAAGTAACTCTGCCTTTCTGTCTGTCTGTCTGTCTGTTACGCTTTGTCACCTAAACCACTGAACTGATTTTAATTAAATTCGGTACAGAGATTGATTGGCCTTGAGAATGAACATAGGATAGTTTTATCCCAGACTTTTGAAAGGTTCTCTTGTAAACGCGGTATAACCGAACTCCACGCGGGCGAAGCTGCGGGCGTAAAGCTAGTACTTACTATTATCTTTGAGTTCATATAATCTTTAAGTCTTTTCATACTGGCTGAGGCAATGACATTAAATCAGATACTTTATACTTGTAAGTTCTATCAAAATTGCACCATTTGTTTCAGAAATTAGTCAGAACAGACTTATAGACCAAAAGTTACTAAACTATTTTTGGTATGCATATTATAAAGTTTGGCTCAACTCAATAAGATAAAATTTTGTTACTGTAATGCCATTGCTATAATATTTTAGTATATTATTAAGGAAGTGACTATACCTATATACTAATAAAATATATTTCTGTTTATTTTTACAGATTGTATCTGCAAATGAATAAGCCCGAGTTTGCAGACAATGACAACTTCAAGTTGATGACAACATTCCCGAAGAAGATATTCACCTTTGAGGATTATGAGAAGCCGTTAGAATGTTTAGGTAATTATTCATATTGGAAATATAAAACACTAGCTTTCCGCCCGCAGCTTCGCCCGCGTGGAGTTCTGTTATATCGCGTCTCCAAGAGAACCTTTCAAAAGTCTGGGATAAAAACTATCCTATGTTCTTTCTCAAGGTCAACTCTATCTGTGTACCAAATTTCATTAAAATCAGTTCAGTGGTTTAGGCGTGAAAGCGTAACAGACAGACAGAGAGACAGAGTTACTATCGCATTTATAATATTAGTAGGCATACATACACAACAGAATAGTGACATAAAGATATCACCATTGAGATCCCTTCATAATGATATTACTAAGTCATTACAAAAATAGTTAGCACACTTGTTGACAAATTATTATTTGTTAATGAAATAAACCCTATAAATATGATGAAAATTACTATGTCTTTGAATATCTCAGCAAATGCACTATCATAAATATTGATAGCATCTGTAGAATTTTCCAGGAATATTAGGATAGGTTTGCTACTTCCTGTAATGTATTAACAGAACTTTTATATTACTTTAATTTGGCCTCACATTGTTCAATTATATATATTTTTTAAATGCTTTATTAGTATATTAATATCTGTTAAATATGACGGCGCATCCGTCAAAAATCATACGTCAGGTTGACTTTTAGCTGTCTGAGGTTAGCCGAGTGAAGCGTCATTGTGATGGTAGCGAGGGCGGCCATCTTTATTATGGAGTATCGTGCGAGATGACGCCCGCGCACCGCGCTCGTGACGAATCGCTGTGTATCGAAGTGATAGTGATATCTAGTGTTTCGATTGAGTTGGTGTCGTATTGAATAGACTGTACTTTATCCCTTTCAAAGTATGAGTTCCCATGAAGGCCCTCCTGTTCTTATAACGCCCTCCTACATCAGAAGTGGGATCGAAAGGGCTTTAAAATGAGGAGAGTAGTGATCATCCATCTATGTTAAACTTTGTAAAAAATAATGAGAAACTTGTCGATGAAAATAATGTCAACTTCTCAACTAACTTCGACGACGTAGTTGATCCGGTTCAATCTGGATCGTACGGAAGCAGATATAAGGGTTAGGACGTCTCGTCGTGTCTTGATCGTAAAAGGTACCGGTAATTGAGGCTCGCCGGTGAAGGAGATATCTGTGTGACCATGGGCCGAGCCGAGGGGAGTTGACGACGTCATCTGGTGAGACTGTTCCTTTTCTTTTTAGTAGTGGGTGTACTTGTTCATGTAGTACTAATGTGTGTCTGTATCTGAAAATTTTTCAAATAAATTTCTGTGTACTTTGAGCAATGAAGTAGTTCCCCTGAAAGGCATCTGAACGCGTAGTATACGGTCGAAGCGAACGGGCGACGATATGAGTTTCACGCTTACCCACCACTTCGTAAGATTTTAATATTAGATCGTATTAGCGAATAAAGGTCATTCAACCTTGCGCTTCGGTACTGAATACTCTAGTCATACTTCGTGTACATTAACAGTCAATTATTATTAGTGTTTCTACGTCTATAGACTTATTGTAATACACAAATTTTAAGCCCGGTCATAATTCAAAGTGTTTCAGTGTCTCTTTTGTTTCATATTATTAAAGAGAATATTATTCTTGAATCCGTGGTTGTTGGACGGTACCTTGTAGAGTGGGGGGTTAAAGGAGAGATAAACAGTGACTACATTATTTTCTCAAAACCTGAAACGACAAAAACAGATAAGTGCCCAACCTCAGACAGTCTTAACTTTTCTTGTATCAAAACTTATTTGGAAGGCGACGATAACAAAGCCCTTATCGATGTTTTTAAGAAGTATAACTCATTTTATTATTAAGGGCACCTCTTAACTCTTTAGACCCTAATTCTTTAGACCCTAACATAGTCTAAGAGAGACCTTACAAATTATAAGAGGTTGTTCGAAAAAAAAAAATGGATGCCCTCTTTGAAACAATCATTTTACACTTTATCAAGCCCCATTCTAATTGTAAAAAAAAAAAAAACCCGAATGACAACTCTGACATAATGTATGTTGACTCTAGGGAGATTAACACCAATTCTTATAGTAAGCCTTTTGTTTTAGAAATTTTATACCGAACTATTTCCGCCTAGTACGATCCTTATGTCTACTCACTAAGTTAAAGGGGTTAATTAAACGGTCAGAAGTCCACGGTAATATTCGTAAATGGATAGTTCAAATACTTACCACGGAGTCTATTCTAACTATATTTGATCGCGAGCCTCCTATAAAATTACACACGAATGCCAGCGCCAACGGATACGGTACCATTTTAATTAAATGAAAGAACGGAGTTCCTCACGTTATTTCATATTTCAGTCGCCGGAAAACTGACACGGAATAAAAGTATCATTCTTATGAACTTGAGACCTCGGCAGTCGTTCGAGCGGAAGAATATTTGAAGCAAAAGCTATATGGTCATCATTTTATCGTTTTCACGGGTGGCAATCCTTTCAAAGCTTCTTAGTTAAAAAAAAAAAAAAAAAAAAAAATTAACACCGAGAGTACATAGATGACCCTGAGCAGGGCACTTCCAAGAGCGACAAAAGCAAGGCTCAAGTAGTTAATAAGTCTGTGCAGTTTGTAGAGGTAAATCAAGGGTGGTTAGCGGTAGAACAAAAACGTGATGCATATGTTCAAGATATTGTTGCTCAGCTCTTAAATAATAAGTTTCCCGATTCAATTAGTCACATCTACGATGTTAGAAACAATATGCTATATCGAAAAAAAAATTGAGCGAAACAAAGTTAGTCGTTGGTAACCTATCGTCCATCAGTCCCTTGTATGGACTTAAATCAACCATATCCATACTGAGATAGACACGTTTAGTTTCTTGATGGAGTGCAACGCAGGCAGGTATTTTTAGGTGTTCTGGGATTTGGTCCAGTCACCTTTTGGGATTTAGTCCTCTAGTTCGGTTACCGTCCACTTTTTCAATCACTAGCGGACGTTTAAAGCTGTCCGTAGTTCTGTCAGGGAACTGACCAATCAACGCCAGTATGTGCTGCAAATAGATATTAGATAAGCGCTGACCATATTTTGAGGTATGCGTAACATACTTCGTCATCACCACATTCCTAAGGCATCAATTCTTTGCCTGTCAACGACTTTCATAGTCCACGTCTTTGCACTATACAGAATCGGATAGCTAGATAGATAGAAATATAGAGAAGGCAAGCGTTCGTATCAGATGCATTTTTGTTCCATTAATAATTTTCCTATCTCTCCAAATTTTATTCAGTGGGGTTATTGCTATTTTGGCCATGTAAATTCTCCTACGGATTTGCATACATTTTATTGGCATACTATTCACATAGATATGACTGGGACATTAAGTGGCAAAAGCGACAGAAAAGAAATACGCGTCAGTAATGATTGATTATGTTATCAAGTATGTCCTTTAAGAGCATACTATATCCCTCGATGCCAGTTGTACTATTAAAGCGTTGAGAAAAGCTGTTTCTCTTTTCGGTGTTCTCAAGCGAATTGTTATATCGGGGAAGGGGCTTTGTAAGCGCGGACTTTAGAGAATTGAGTAAAACACCTCGTATAGAACTTTACTTTATAACAACAGGGGCAAATAAAGCCAACGGTCAAGTAGAAAGGGTCATGCAGATTTTAAAATGTCTGCTAACTATTATAGAAAACGATACCCATAAAACGTGGCGTGACAAACTTCCTGAGGTACAAGGGACGAAACCGCTTAGCATTCAATGGATTCACCGTGCAGGTGCCGGGTCCATCGCGTTGCAGGGAGGGGAGCTTCAGCAGTGCCTGGGACTTGCGACCCAGGTGTGGGTTTAAGGGGCCCCTTAACTAACGCGCGTTGTACGCTCACCTCCACTGTCCAAGTTCCTCTCCCTACCTGGCCAAATTTGGAAGGAACCTGCTAGGGCTGCTTTCGACGTACGTTCCGAGAATGAATTAATGTTGGTTCTGGACGGGCCCAAGTCTTTTAGTAGGTTGTAGAGAGATTTGGCTGTTATGCCTCTCGCTCCCACCTCTACCGCGGACGAACCTATTTCGAGTTAGTTCGTTAGTGAGCTCGTAATACTTAATGACCTTGATGGCATGGTCTTTGGGGATGTTGGTTTCCCAAGGCACCGTAGGCTCTATCATCACAACGCGCTTTAAAATACGCGAATATAGAAATATGTCTGGTCTGGAGGCTGACGCACAAATATCCTCGGGGATTTTGTGTTGTTTCTCATACGTATCCAGATTTAAGGATAGAGTAAGGCTTGACGTTTGATTTTATAGCCCTGGTGCTCTCTCTCACAAAACCTATTGATCGCTCGTTTGTGGTTATTTCCCTTTGCGCTCTGGCTACCGAAAGACTAACCGCTTCAAGTATGATCTCTAAAACCCTATAGTGACGACGCGAGAATTGACCGCTGTCCAGGAGAACCTTACATCTCACTAGCAAATGCTTAGCAGTTCCAACTGCCTTTCCGCAGATATAGCAAGTGTTTTCGGTACCTTTACCCCATCTTACTAAATTACTCTGATCTGGGAGAGTCATCTAGCACTTAATAACACAAGCCGTAGTGTTACAGGATATACTCCAACAGAACTAATGTTTGGCATTCGCGCGCAATCTTTAGGGATATCATTAATAGCCCAAAATTCAAACGAGCCGAGATTAGATTTAGACAATATCCGGAATAAAACTTCCCTCAACACTGAAAACGCAGATCAAAAGGAAATAGTTAAATTTAGTAAAGGCAAAGCCCAAGTAAAACCTTTTTTTCTTTCTCGGGGAGATTACGTTTTTGTTAAGTGTAGCGAATGTTACCAAACTAAACTGCAAAGAAAGTTTAGGGGACCTTTTATCATAACTAAAATTCTAGACAACGATAGGTACGAACTGAAACATACCGATGAATCTAATTGCACTTTAAAATACTCTCATGAAAACTTGGGCGCAGTACCCAGAGGCTTTGAAGGGTTAGTTGACATATCCACTGAACTAAGTAATGAGGAGGCCGAGACGGCGGGTCATGGAGTGGAGAGAATGGAAACGAAGCTATGTCAGATGATGAAAGTGAGTAGCTGAGTAGCTCTGATGGCCTCCAACATTGATAAACCATAAATGAGTTGTGTAAGTTTGAGTTGGTGTGTTTGAGGTGGCGATGGAACTGGCTGATGCGGCCGATGTTTCTAGTAGTGATGGATCAAAGCGTGCAGGGGCTGGCTCGATGGAGTCCACGTCCGGTCGACGCTTGATCAGGTTGTGAAGATGGACGGGCTAGCTCTGTGGAGTCTATGTCCGGGTCATCGTTCACTCACATGAGTATAAGTAGTGGAGATGATGGGGCTAGCTCATTGGAGTCTCGATCATCGTTCATTCGTTTGGCTGAGTTGTTCTGGATGCTCTGCAGATTGTGGTCAGACGAATATTGTCGTCCAGGTCAGAGCCATTTAAGTTGGCTGACTTGTTCTGGTAAGACGAATGAAGTCGTCCGAGTCAGAGCCATTTAAGTTGGCTGACTTGTTCTGGTAAGACGAATATTGTCGTCCGAGTCAGGAGCCATTTAAGTTGGCTGACTTGTTCTGGTAAGACGAATGTAGTCGTCCGAGTCAGGAGCCATTTAAGTTGGCTGACTTGTTCTGGTAAGACGAATGTAGTCGTCCGAGTCAGGAGCCATTTAAGTTGGCTGACTTGTTCTGGTAAGACGAATGTAGTCGTCCGAGTCAGGAGCCATTTAAGTTGGCTGACTTGTTCTGGTAAGACGAACGTAGTCGTCCGAGTCAGGAGCCATTTAAGTTGGCTGACTTGTTCTGGTAAGACGAACGTAGTCGTCCGAGTCAGGAGCCATTTAAGTTGGCTGACTTGTTCTGGTAAGACGAACGTAGTCGTCCGAGTCAGGAGCCATTTAAGTTGGCTGACTTGTTCTGGTAAGACGAACGTAGTCGTCCGAGTCAGGAGCCATTTAAGTTGGCTGACTTGTTCTGGTAAGACGAACGTAGTCGTCCGAGTCAGGAGCCATTTAAGTTGGCTGACTTGTTCTGGTAAGACGAACGTAGTCGTCCGAGTCAGGAGCCATTTAAGTTGGCTGACTTGTTCTGGTAAGACGAACGTAGTCGTCCGAGTCAGGAGCCATTTAAGTTGGCTGACTTGTTCTGGTAAGACGAATGTAGTCGTCCGAGTTAGAGCCATTTAAGTTGGCTGACTTGTTCTGGTAAGACGAACGTAGTCGTCCGAGTCAGAGCCCTTTAAGTTGGCTGACTTGTTCTGGATGCTTTGAACATTGTGGCAAGACGAATGTAGTCGTCCGGGTCAGAGCCCTTTAAGTTGGTTGACTTGTTCTGGATGCTTTGAACATTGTGGTGAGATGAATGTTGTCGTCTGGCTTAATTGCTACGAGATGCTCGCCTTAAGTCTTAAGTACCATAGCACATTTTGATGATTGTAACTAGTCGTTTGTCAGGATGCCGAACGGAATAGACACAACTGTAGTTCATTGATCCGAGAACCGCCCGAGGACGGTCGAATGTCAGTCCGGCCGTGACGGCGCATCCGTCAAAAATCATACGTCAGGTTGACTTTTAGCTGTCTGAGGTTAGCCGAGTGAAGCGTCATTGTGATGGTAGCGAGGGCGGCCATCTTTATTATGGAGTATCGTGCGAGATGACGCCCGCGCACCGCGCTCGTGACGAATCGCTGTGTATCGAAGTGATAGTGATATCTAGTGTTTCGATTGAGTTGGTGTCGTATTGAATAGACTGTACTTTATCCCTTTCAAAGTATGAGTTCCCATGAAGGCCCTCCTGTTCTTATAACGCCCTCCTACAAATATAATATGTATAGTTATATGAGTAAAACAAAAAAATATTCAACTATATTTGGCAACTTTGTTATCCTAAAAATTGTTTTCAATTTTGATTCATATCCCATAAAAGATAACTCATATAACTCACTATGGAAAGACGCTTTATGGCAGAAAAATACTAATTTGAACCTAATATATTTTGTATATTTACAACGCAACAGAAAATTTTGAAAGTCGAATAGATTTTTCATTATTTAAAAATTATTTTGTCTTCTTTTTTTAAAGATAAAAACAATAAATGTCACTATTTAGTGGATCACCTAATGAACTAGATTTATTCTGTGTCTTTATCTTTATATTGCTCAAATGTATAGGGCTGAAACACTACACATTCTTTGAATGGTATCCAATTTTTCTTTTTTTATACGAGGGTCAAACTGAAAGTTCTTAGAAAATCAAAAACTGATGACATTAGCCAGTTATTAGTTTTATTATATCTTTTCAAAATATTGTCCATTCACGTCAATACACCGCTGCATGCGATGGAACCACTGGGAAAAGCATTTTGCCCACTCGTCCTTAGGGGTCTCTTCAATGGCATCGCGATAAGCAGCCACCGCTTTTTCAGCATTCATAAACCGCTACCCTTTAAGTTATTCTTTAATTTTTGGAAATAAATAAAAATCACAAGGCGCGAGGTCGGGGCTATACGGCGTGTGACCCAATAATTCAACGTTTGATGTCGCCAAATAGTCGATCGTTCGCTTGGCGGTGTGCGACGATTCGTTGTCGTGGTGAAGGAGGATCCTACTGCGAGGTCGTTTCTCTCGAACTTTTTCCAAGACAAGTGGCAAACAATTGGTCGTGTACCATTCTGCAGAAACTGTTTTTTGATCCTCTAACACAATTGTTACGAAATGACCTATCTTTCCAAAGAACGGGCCACCACTTTTTTTCCCGCACTTCGATCTCTCTTCACTTTAGTTGGCAACTCCTCGAAAGGACACACCCACTGAGCAGATTGTCTTTTGGTTTCAGGATCATAACAGTAAATCCAGTTTTCGTCACCTGTTAGTATGTCGAACACAGCATTTGAGTCACCTCCCTTAAATCTTTCAATCATTTTACGGCACCAATCCACACGATGGAGTTTTTGAGCGTCAGTCAAATTATGAGGTATCCACCGGGCGCAAAGCTTCCTGACCGCTAAATATTCGTGGAGGATTTTGTGCACTTGACTCATACCGATGCCTAAGTTTGTCCGAATCTGCTGCTAGGTCACTCTTTTGTCAGTCTCTATCAAACGCCGCACAACACAGATGTTATCTTCAGTCGTCGCCGTAGAAGGCCGTCCCTCACGTAAATCATCATTGAGATTAGTGCGACCACGTTTAAACGCATTAAACTAGTTGTAAATAGTCACACGAGATGAGGCTTCATCGTGAAAGGCCAATCGTAGTCTATCATAACTTTCTTGTTGACTTAAATGACATCTAAAGTCATACAAAATCATTGCACGAAAATTTTCTCGTGTTAAATTCATGTTGACGTGACACAGAAAATTTTCAATTTGCCGCCAAATCGTAAAACAAATGACAAATGTATGAAATATATACTCAGTAATATTGGCAAAGAGTTCTACTTTCAAATTTTAGAATTATTTTTTTATTATATTGTTTATAAGTGGCCAATTCTAAGAATTTTCAGTTTGACCCTCGTATATAACTATTTTTCCCGCCACTTCGTCCGCGTCAAATTCGGTATTATTAATATATGTACATATATCTGACCAGGCGAACTCTACTCCGACCTACGGGCTATAAATAACCAGATATTGGAATTTCCTAAGTATTTTGATTCTTTTTCGATCAAACAATTGAACATCCTATGTCCATCTCCTGGATTTAAGCTATCTCCCAACCAGTTATCAACCATATCCCTACAGACGTTCTTGAATTATAAATACAACTTTCTTTTATATACATATATAGATTTTATAATATAAATATAATCTAACATATTATATTTCTATTTACAGGTCTTGTGCCATCAGCAGTTATAATTGTGTCAAAAGGTTATTAAGATCACAAGTGATTCAAATCCATTCTACTGTATTGATCTTCATATAGGTACATTTTGGGTGTATAATAATTATTAACATCTCATTGAGCTGAAAGTTACATTAATTTATAATGTGTCTATAAAATTTGGTTGTTTCAATAAAGATAATTAAGGTGTATTTATTTTTTATTTATTAGGTTCTCTTCTATTAGTTACTGTGAATGTTTTTGTACAGAAGTAAATTTTTTGGAGAAGGTTCTGTACCTTAAGGCTTAAGCATATGAATTACATAAAAAATAACTTCTTAATTAATAATTTTATCTCATCAAAGGTCCTCATTAAAATGTATAGTCGGTATTAGTGTTGCCAATCTTATACAGGGTGATTGGTGAATTACTATCGATATTTGAGGACGTGATATTTGACGATCATATGTGACAAAATAAAAATTAATATAACATAAATATTAATAAACTTCTGAGTAAAGATAACCAAAAGTTATGTAATTAATTACGCATCGTATGAACACCCTACAGATTAGGTATACACACACACACACACACACACACACACTCGCGCGCGGCAGCGTGTTGTTGTATCAGCACGCCGCCGCACGCGTCCACACTTGGAACACTTGGAACGTGTACACACTTTATTTCTTTATACGGAAATTTGGTCAAAAATTAAGTACCTATTTTTTTTACATAATTCGAATGAGAACCATGTACCGAGTATGCTCCTTAAATATTGATAGTAATTCACCAGTCACCCTGTATATTAAAGGAGAAAAATAAACAAATGTCATTTAAGTTTCTTTATTGTAACACCTATTTAATTTAAATATTAATATATCTATGAAAAATAGTGCATTGTACAGTCTTTAATATTTGAAATTCTAAATTATTTTAATACATGTCAAAAGTATATAAAAAACTGGGAGGAAAATGGCAGAAAAAGTGATTACAAGAAACCGATCATAGAGGAATGGACACATTTATATGAAAAAATAAACTAATTTTTTAAGTTATTTCCTTAATTTTGTATATATATACTTAGATTTTGCAATCTTTTATATGTCCTCATAGAAAAAACTCCTGTTTTTCATCTTAAATGTCTTCAATGTACATTTCCTCTTACGATTTCTCTGTATTTCTATCAATTAGACTAGTTTATGACCGCCCCTACAAAGTGAACCATTGCAACCAAGTTAACAGCTTGTATAATTCCACATACCATGTATATTTCTTATACTGTGGGTATATTATACCCTTTGTAGTGTGACAATTTGTAAGTATGCCTCCATTCCTATAGTTCCGAGTTACGACCCCATCACAGTCAGTCAGTTGAAGTTCTTTTGTGAAGCAAATCCTAATCTCGGATATATAATTGTCCCCTCCTTCCTCAACTTTACACTCAATTACGGGATTTTTGTTTATTCTCTCTTTAATTGCATCGTTTATATCAGAGATTGTATATTTTTCAGTATTTGATGGCACAATACTACTCTTTTCAAGTATGTCGGTCATTGTAAATGTTTTGAGGAATTCTAGGCCATTTTGAAAGTAATGCAGTTCCGAGTTGAGAGGTTTGAGGATAGCAGCACATGTGCCGTGTTTGGCCCATTCATGAGACCAGAGAGCATATTCTGAAGTACCTGAAATAAACATGATAAATGAGTCCTTGAAATCTATGACAATAACACAATATTAGATTCATTCTTCTGTTTGTTTTAACATTTATATTGCCTGTTAATTCACAGGAAATTATTTCTGCCTTAAAGCTTGTTTTAAAATCAATTAATCTTGTGTGGAATTACATTACTTGGTCCCATTATCTTTTGCTACAATACTTTCTTGATAGTAAAATAGTTTCATTATGATTTCTAATCACACAAAGCTTATTTCTTTTTTTCAAAAGATACCTATATTACTTGTTATTATTTTATATTTCATTAAAAAAAAATAAAGACTTGCATTAAAAACTTTCACTTTAAACGAACAAAGATATTAATTAAAGGCATTGGAAATGACATACTTGATTGTATTTAGAAACATTTCTTTGTTATGTAGAAAGATAAGTAATGAAATTTCTGGATTTATGATAATAAAAGTTGTTACGACCTACTTATAGTACACAAAGATTTTATTAACAACTGATAACATGTTTCAAAAAAAAGTTTACCTCCATAAATGTTGGGCCATTTTTGTAATAACTCCTCTTCAATAGGCCTTATCTTTTCAGGATCGAAAAACCACGTCCTATTACAGAAGGCTGGTCCGATCATACCCATTTTTGTAGGCCAAATGCCATGTATTGTCCAAGTCTCGGAATTTTTTGGCATTGAGCAAGTGTGGGAAGGGTTGTGCTTTTTCCATTCTTTGCAAGCTGTTGCAGGCCACTGTTGTGTGAAAATGAGCAAATCGAATTCAGATCCCGCGTTAACGGTTGGCACTGCAAAGTGAATACTGAAATCATAATATAATTATATAGCTTTCGCAGTTTTAACACATATAAAAGTAAATTATTCGTACATACATGAATGTGGTGAATAAAATAAAAATAGCTTTAAGTTCCGACATTTTAAAACAATATTACACGAGCACACGTTGATAAAATACTGTACATTTGTTGTATCTACTAAATTCTTATAGACCAAAAATATAGTTCTAAATTCTGTCAAATATTTGTCACTTCAACTGACATTGACAATATAAACAAGCCTAAACAAATTGAAAGACTGTTCTAAGCCAACTGTAGACTATATTGGAAAATTGTTTCTAATATAATTATATAGGTAGTTGACACATTGTTTTGTAAAAATGAAATATCAATAAGCAAACAAGTTATCAGTTTCGCAATTTATTATAATTTCTTATAGTGTAAGCTTATATACGTGAGAATAAGCAAAGTAAAAAGGAATTAACAGACTCAGTCTCTTTAGTTGCATATATACATATATTTTGAAACTCGAAATTTTTGTAAGAAACTTGAAAACAATTAAAAAACGTTGTGTTGTTATATAACTTGGGAATGAGATACATACACAAGATTGGTATATTAAAATAAAAATAAAGTATTCTATTACTAAACTGTAAAAAATAATCAGCTGTTTTTTTTACTCGGCATATCGAGGTCGTTGACCTGTATACCTGGAGTATACTATACAAACAATATATCTAAATTTTTTAAAAAAAACTCTTGAATTTTTTATTTATTCAAATACATTCCATATTTTACATTAATTATTTAATAATATTCTAAAAATAACCACATTAACCATAAGGAAAACATATTATAAATGTTTGCTTGTTTTTAAAACTACCATTAGATGGCGCTGCTTAATCTCTCTACGTAACGGTTACTTTGTTAAATGCTCAATCACATACAAATATTAAGTGATATATTTTTGTACAATTATTTAATTTATGATGTTCCGAGTTTTATCTCACTTTATATTTCCATATATTGTTATATGGGATACATTTTCCTCATTGTAATAAAAAAACAGTAACAACTATTAAAACAATAAGTGATAAAAAACAAAACTATTGCTGTTCCAAGAGGGTTAGTTTCCAGAGTTGGCTCGGAGACTATATGTGAGTCGTTTATCAAAATAAGACCTGGTTATGTACCGAATCAAGGTCAAGGTGAAACCAATAATTTTATGAGTCCATTGAGATATCGCAAAGCTTTATTCAAGGTGATGAAATAGTCTGGACCGCTTCACAGTCTTTTTTCTGCCAAAATACACATATCACCCAACCGAGCTTCAATTATATTTTATTTTAATGAAGTTTAAAACATTCGCGAGCTTGTCTCATCAAAATTTGAGTTACGATCATGTTTATATGGAAAAAATATATGTCATAGCATTAGAAATTAAAACCGTACCAACCCTAATATATGACGTAATTTTTTGTTTTAATATTGAAGAAAAGTTGTTATATCAACCATTTGAATAACGATTATCTAAATATGAGAAAATATTATGTACCTACTGTTCTTTTACATTTTCTTCAGGAATGATACTTGTTTCTAACATCAAACATTAGAATAACAATTAAACATTACGTACGTACGTAATTACTAATGTAAATTTTATTTTCTACCTTAATAATAATTATACATATATTTAAAAAATCTATTATGATTTAAGTTTTTGGTTGGTTTTTATATATGTATTATAATAAATGAAAACTTGCAATATTCTTAATGTAACGTCAAATGTGACTCAAATTTTCCGCGTCTGAGAATTTTCTAGACGTTGTTCTTAAGTTGAGTAACTAAAATCCAATTTTGTATAAAGTTCCTGGGAAGTGCATCCGTGTATTGATTGATAACTGGCGCATGGTTGTTGAGTTACTACGTTCTTCCCTGTTAGTTGTTACCCACGTATATAACGTTTATGTAACTACACTTTAATATTATTATTCCTTTATTAATTTATGTTATTTAAAATATAAATTGCAAACAATAGATGAGTTAGATCAGGAGGATAATATATCTTATAGGTGATTTAAAATGCCTTTAAAATTAATGAGATTTGTAAAGAACTTGCAGTGAAAAGGATGTATATTATATGTATATACTATATAAAAGTTAAATTTATGTTTAAATATGCATATATGTATGTATAGTTTCATGTATCTATCTAATGGTAGGTCTTAATGAAAATACCTTCGATAGAGATTTCTAGGAAAGTATCTGGGAACAGTCTTTGTAATTGGAATCAGCAATGGATTTCGAAAGTTCTAGAATAGAAAAGAAGTTTCGGAAACAATTAGAATGAATAATGTACGTCTACGATCGTGGTACGTCTAGAATTTTAGATTGCGAGGTACAAAAGGGTTCTCAATAGAAAAACATAAAAAAATACAAATATTTTGTATATTTTAAATATAATTTAGATAATATTAGGAATAATTAAAAAAAACTCTGCTTATTCGACAATTAATAATATTGGACAAAAAAATTTGGAGGTATACTTAAGAACATGTATTTATTTTAAGAAAATGTACCACTCTTCATTAAAGAGAGAAGTCCAATTTCTATTTCAATCCATGATTAATCCCTGAACCTTTAGAGTAAAATAGGTTGATTAAGATTGTTATTACCAATAACACATCCATAATATGTAATGTTTTTGTGAAGGTGGTAGAGCCTAGCTGTGGTCAGTTACTAGAGCTCGAACATGGTCTGGCTCGACCGGGGAAGTACCACCCTCTCACAGAAGATCGGCGTGAAGTAGCCTTTAATGGCTGCGTTTCGTCCGATGAGTGAAAGAGCCGGTTGCCCTTTCCCTATTCCCACCCTTTCCTACCATTTCCTTATTCCCACCCCTCCCTAATCCTAAAAAACAAGGCTGGCAACGCATGCGCAACAAAGATATTGCGGATGGCCATGGGCGACGGTAGGTACCTTCCATCAAGTGCTCGGCCGTCTGCTGACTGCTCGTTTGCGACCTTTCACTTAAAAAAAAATTATAACTCACATGAAACACGGTGCAGTGAAATGTTGAATGAAAGGATTGGATAGAAAAGATATAGATTGGAAGATCGTTTAAGTGTATTAAGAAGACTAAGGGATTAGAATTCCATATAAAATTACTCTAGAAGTTATGTCCAAACAAACGGAAATCTCTCAATCCACCAATGACTGGATTTGATTAGATTACGTAAGAGTTACTACGTTTATTAGTAAAAAAATATGATTTTGAATGGATGTTGATATGGTTATGATGGTTTTGGTAAGGAGAAATTAAAAACAAGTTTTCATTCACTTGGAATGATATAAAATTTTCAGAGTACAAGCTTTCACCTTCCAGTTTAGGTGGAATCGACAGAAGATTTCGATGCATCTGATGTTTATTTTGGTTCTGTTAATGAATAAGTGGGACTGTCTAAAAATTTCTTTAAAATATTCTTATAAAAGTACGAAGGGAGATAAAAATAATTATAACATGTCATTAGAACTCTAAACTGCACAATAAGCAAAAAATATATAGATATTTACTCTTTGGTCATACACGTCTCAGTCATAGATTATGCAGCATTATATTAAATCTATATTAATTTTATTATAGTCTGTGGCTTGCTAATTTAATTCAAATGTCAGTGCATTCATATTATTCCAAGGTATTTGAAATAAAGTTTCTGTTCAAACTATTCTTACGTCCTTAACATTAAGATTAGATTCACAAATAGTTTTATTATCGTTGATTCGATTTTAATTCATGTTCGTCTTATTATGTGATTTTTTGTTTATTTTGTAACATTTTTAACTCGTGGAGGTCATACTATGAAACCAGTCCGTTATTTAAACCATTTATGTTTTTAAAACATTGCCTGACGATTTTTAATGGATATCAATATCGGTTTGATATTCGATATTAAATGATACATTTGCATTATGTTTGTAAATTATTTAATTAAAATAATAGCCGTGTTTAGTTTTGTGAATCACGGCAAGGTTTACGTTGAAACACTTAGCTTTAAATATAGCAGACTGCCTACTTGATTAGCAGTAGTGACTGTCGCCCATGGACTGCAACAGAGATGATGCGGATGCGTTGCAAACCTTTTTTGTTAAGGAAGAGGTAGCGGTGGGAATAAGGAAATGGCAGGAAAGGGAATAGGGAAAGAGCAACCTCTCTCACTCATCGGACGAAACGCAGCCACTAAAGACTACTTCACGCCGATCTTCTGTGAGAGGGTGGTACTTCGGTCGAGCCCGACCATATTCGAGCTGTAGTGACTTGACCACAGCTAGATTCTATCACCAAAAAAATTTCTTCCTCATATTCAACTTCTATGTTACAAAAGATTTAATATACAACGTTTATTATAAGCGCTACCGTTGTGTGTTGTTCGTATAAAAAACATGTTAATAAGTCAACAGAGCGTGAACAAAGTCGCGGACATCGACTAGTTGTAATGTATAATTTCTATTAAGAATATTTCAGTCTTGAAATTGTTTTTTTAATGAGTCAGTACATGAAACTTGAATGGACTGACAATATTTAATAATTATATTATTAAATTTATATTCAGTTAATAAATTCATTATAATATATTTCTTTGTATATTAAAATTTTATTTGTGATTTTTTTTTTCAATATAATAATTTTATATCTTGTAACTTAATACATAATTTTTCACTTGTATTTAATTGTACTAATTTTGGCTGCTACTTCATCCGCGTTTTCGGTCTTTTCCTCCTTCTACCTGGCAATTTCCCAGTTTTAGCCAGGGTCTGCCTTACATGTTTCTTAATAGTTTTGGCTAATTGTTTTTACGACCGGCCGCCTGCCTGACATCAACCCTCTTAGGGAATGCATTAATCAGTGATGTCTAAATGATCTAAAAAAGTACATATGACTCGGAAAACCCACATTGGTACTTGTCAGGGCCAGGATCGAACCCGCGCCCTTGTGCATGAGAGCGGGCGAGCCTTTTAGCTACTAAGTCACCTCTGACACAATTTGCAGTTTTGGCTACTACTTCATCCGTATTTTCGGTATTAATCTATGTTAAAACAATAGATATATCATTCTGATCACTAAACTATATTACTGTAAAGT